CAGGACATACTGTGGTGTTTATTTACACTGACAGAGAGCTGTTTGGCTCAAGTCTAGTTTGTATGAGTGTTTTTGGTGTCTGCAGTGTCCAGTGTGTTAGGGACTTGGTTTGTTCTGTTCTGTGTAATGATGCAGCATGTGCTAAGATTTCAGTGTGCACAGACAAAAGTAACATAACATACAAACTTCATTCAGTGAAGATGTATATGAGACAGCCAAAAAGAGTAACCCAGATATTTTGAAAGAGGCAGAAGCCTGAAGATAACCTATCACAAACATCAGAATGAGACAGTCATCATTTTTGGGGCCATGTTATTAGACAAGTCATCATTTTTTGGGGCCATGTTATTAGACGAGGGAAACTGGAATGTTTTATAGAAAGAAAGAGAGAGAGGAAGACAAAGCAAAAAGTTCTTGACAATCTTTTGTCACAACATGGAGGATGTTGTTAAATGAGCTGATGAATATTGTTGGAGATTGCAGAGGCATTGAAACATTGTTGCCCCTAATTGTGTATTAGTTTCTCTGTTTTCTCCAAGATCTCTTATTATTATGTGCATGATTATGTGTATAACTAAACAGAGTAAGTTTAGATTGTTTATATAAGGCAAACACAAACTCAAAATATGGACTAGAAAGTCAATTATTTCAGTATTTCAACAAGGGGATGGTCAGCACATGTTAACCTGCAATAAGTTCACATTTCAACCCAACACATCTGATGTCTGCAGACCCATAATTAGTCACTTTTGCAACATGGTTGTTATGGAAACAGTGCGTCTGCTCTTTCACCCCCTAAAATGGGACATGGAAATTATACAGGGATTTCCATAGTCTTTTGTATTCAGTATCTCTCCTTTAAAGTCAGGAGCTAAAAAAAAAATATCGATATTTACCTTTGGCCTAGTCAAGAGAATAAATCTTTTGGACTGTTACAATAAATGTTTTGTACTAACAATATTTCAGGGGCATCTGTTACTTTTTTGTGGAGGTTGAGTGTGCCAAACAGGATCTGCATTCTGGGATTTACGGTGGCACTGTGTAAGTATAAATGGTCTCTGGTTAAACATTTCTTGATATGATGTTATCTAGATCAGGGCTTTTCAACTAAGATCAGGGAGCTGATAAGTGGAACAGCCTTTTCCTACTCTTATCAGGCCAAATTTTATTGTCAAAATAGCTTTTAAGAGATCAAATTTCATCCTGTTTCTTAGGTTAGATTTGCTAAAGTCACTCCAAATGAAAAATATCTAGAAAATATCTACCATCTAAACATTAAAAACGCCATCTAAATGCAATGAAAAACATCTAAATCTGGATGTAAAACATCCAAAGTGGCAACACTGCTTAAGAGGTATCCATGGTAGGAAATATAACCCATGCCATAGGAAACTTGAGTTATTATGTCCATCCCAGAGGAACAAGCTGAAGAGGAGAGAATAAGAAATCTACCAGTCAAGATACAAGGAGGCTGTTTTACTAAAAGAAAGAAGCCATACAGAGAAAGCCACAAAAACTGGAGCACTGACCTAGTTAAGCCATACAGAGAAAGCCACAAGAACTGGAACACTGACCTAGTTAAGCCATACTGAGAAAGCCACAAGAACTGGAGCACTGACCTAGTTAAGCCATACAGAGAAAGCCACAAGAACTGGAGCACTGACCTAGTTAAGCCATACTGAGAAAGCCACAAGAACTGGAGCACTGACCTAGTTAAGCCATACTGAGAACGCCACAAGAACTAGAGCACTAAACTTGTTAAGCCATACAGAGAAAGCCACAAGAACTGGAGCACTGACCTAGTTAAGCCATACAGAGAAAGCCACAAGAACTGGAGCACTGACCTAGTTAAGCCATACAGAGAAAGCCAAAAGAACTGGAGCACTGACCTAGTTAAGCCATACAGAGGAAGCCAAAAGAACTGTTGAGCACTGACCTAGTTAAGCCATACAGAGAAAGCCAAAAGAACTGTAGCACTGACCTAGTTAAGCCATACAGAGAAAGCCAAAAGAACTGCAGCACTGACCTAGTTAAGCCATACAGAGGAAGCCAAAAGAACTGTAGCACTGACCTAGTAAAGCCATACAGAGAAAGACACAAGAACTGGAGCACTGACCTAGTTAAGCCATACAGAGAAAGCCAAAAGAACTGGAGCACTGACCTAGTTAAGCCATACAGAGGAAGCCAAAAGAACTGTTGAGCACTGACCTAGTTAAGCCATACAGAGAAAGCCACAAGAACTGGAGCGCTGACCTAGTTAAGCCATACTGAGAACGCCACAAGAACTAGAGCACTAAACTTGTTAAGCCATACAGAGAAAGCCAAAAGAACTGTAGCACTGACCTAGTAAAGCCATTTAGAGAAAGACACAAGAACTGGAGCACTGACCTAGTTAAGCCATACAGAAAAAGCCAAAAGAACTGGAGCACTGACATAGTTAAGCCATACAGAGGAAGCCAAAAGAACTGTTGAGCACTGACCTAGTTAAGCCATACAGAGAAAGCCAAAAGAACTGTAGCACTGACCTAGTTAAGCCATACAGAGAAAGCCAAAAGAACTGTAGCACTGACCTAGTTAAGCCATACAGAGGAAGCCAAAAGAACTGTAGCACTGACCTAGTAAAGCCATACAGAGAAAGACACAAGAACTGGAGCACTGACCTAGTTAAGCCATACAGAGAAAGCCAAAAGAACTGGAGCACTGACCTAGTTAAGCCATACAGAGGAAGCCAAAAGAACTGTTGAGCACTGACCTAGTTAAGCCATACAGAGAAAGCCAAAAGAACTGTAGCACTGACCTAGTTAAGCCATACAGAGAAAGCCAAAAGAACTGGAACACTGACCTAGTTAAGCCATACAGAAGAACAAAAGAACTGAGGCACTGGCCTAGTTGAGCCATACTGAGGAAGCCAAAAGAACTGTGGCACTGACCTAGTAAAGCCATACAGAGAAAGCCAAAAGAACTGGAGCACTGACCTAGTTAAGCCATACAGAGAAAGCCAAAAGAACTGTGGAGCACTGATCTAGTTAAGCCATACAGAGAAAGCCAAAAGAACTGTAGCACTGACCTAGTTAAGCCATACAGAGAAAGCCAAAAGAACTGGAGCACTGACCTAGTTAAGCCATACAGAGAAAGCCAAAAGAACTATAGCACTGACCTAGTTAAGCCATACAGAGGAAGCCAAAAGAACATAACTGTGGAGCACTGACCTAGTTAAGCCATACAGAGAAAGCCAAAAGAACCGTTGAGCACTGAGCTAGTTAAGTCATACAGAGAAAGCCAAAAGAACTGTAGCACTGACCTAGTTAAGCCATACAGAGAAAGCCAAAAGAACTGTAGCACTGACCTAGGTAAGCCATACAGAGGAAGCCAAAAGAACTGTAGCGTACTGACCTAGGTAAGCCATACTGAGAAAGCCAAAAGAACTGTGGAGCACTGACCTAGGTAAGCCATACAGAGAAATCCAAAAGAACTGTGGAGCACTGACCTTGCTCATTTCACAAAACAAGTCTCTTTAAATTGACACCTGGAATATTGGAATTAGAACTAGAGACAGATGTGTATAAAATGAGGATTGGGTTGCAGGAAATGACAGAATATAGGACAGCTTAGTGTGAGTTGCTAGGGTGTTTGCTTCAAATGAGTTCAGTACCAGGTGGATATTATTTAATTTACCCTACGCCAGAAATTTTTTATATTTCTTTAATAAATGAGTTAAAATATTAACACTGTGGAAGAGAGATGGAATTAAAGATGCAGAATGTGGTAGCGTAACAACTGGATGTGGCATGAAGAGTTGAGAAACTCTGTAAAGTGTAGGCAGAACCAACAGAGTTGGTTGTTATTGAAAGAGTGACACCTTTTTGCTCTGAAAAGCCACAAAACCTACACTTCCAGTTGGGGGCCAATTCTCTGTAAATGTCAGTTTTCTGACTTGCCTATAGTGACCTGATTACGAGATGCGTAGTTAATGCTATTGGCTGTTTTCCTGCTCAGAGAGTTAGGTGGTCGTCAAAATAAGAATATATTAACTAAAGAATAACGTAGGGGGGGGGGGGGGGGGGGACTCATTCCATATCCAGTGGTCTTATTAAAGACAAGCTGACATTAAAAAAATGTCTGTAAGCCTCAGTGATGAAGGTCACAGGGTCAGAACATAGGTAAACTGATATAAGGTTAGTTGCGTATCCTTTACAGGACGTTGCAGAACCAACCCCAACAACCCCTGGCTGTTGTGTGGTTTTTCTAGGCAAATTTACGTCCAGTAGTTTGCCATTGCTTTCTGGAAAGCCAGCTTCTTTGATACCACTGTCGAAACCAACGTAACATTCATCTTCATTTGTTTCATGGATGTCTTCATTTCTTTAGTCCATTTGTTTTCTATTTCAGTGCCCATTTGCTAATTCTTTGTCATTTTCTCCTCATGGTGTGCCAAATATATTGCTAGTATCTTTGTCTGATAACTGATGATACAAGCAGTTGTCCAGACATTGCTCTTTTTTCTTCACCTTGCTGGATTTCATCCAATTTAATATTTTTCAGTTTCCTTTGGCAGTTATTTTTTGAATGCATTTAACATTTATTCCATGTCTTACATAAAAATGTCTGTGGCTTAGGCGTTGCGAACACGCTTCGTAATACAGGAGTGACAGGTTCGATCCTAGCTGCAGGAAATTTGGCAATAGAACGTCCTGTGTTGTTTTCGACATTGGTACTGATCGTTCAGAAAACAAGTCAAGCTATTGAACATTACATTTTCTATGAAAAACCACAACAGCCAGAAAAAAAATGGGGTTGGTTCTGCAATGTCCAAAAAAGGATACACAACTGACTTAACTTACATGAAAATTATATTATCTTTAAAATTTGTGTGCGCAGACATGAGGCCATGAATGACCTGGTAGCCATACTATCCTCGCTGACAGACAGCCAGCATAGGATCTTGATTCCTGGTATTTACAACTCAGTGCAGGAAATAACAGATGAGGAGCTGAAAACCTATGAGTCCATTGACTTTGACCACGTATGTGTAAATGAATATTTGTGTGTATTATATCAGTGTAAATGTTTTGGGATGGCAATGGTTGTTTAGAAAATGTCTGGCAAGGCTAACCTGGACAGCAAATACCAATTGAAGGAAATGTGTCAGCTGACGCCTGCATATATAACAGCTGTACTGTAAACAGATTCATTATTGAAGAAGAAGCAGTTAAAAAATATGCATGAAAGTAGAACATTAGATGCAACTGTAAGAGAAAATCAGTGTTCTGTTGTCAGGTTATCTTCTTCTTCTTGTTCACCGGCTGTAAACTCTGGTGGCAAGTTCTGGTTGTTTGTCCACTTCCAGACTGCAGTCCCGTTCCAGAACCTGAGTGTTGCGTGTTCATTCATTTTACAGATTTGACTCATTTGTTTGCAGACTGTTGGTTCCTTGCCTCTCAGGCAGATGTATTCCAACTTCGAAGGAAACTCCCAATTAGTCGACTCTTACGAAATGCTTTTGGTAGGCAGTGGGTCTGTTCTTGTTGTCCCTATAACAGGGCCCTGGAACCCACACAGGGATGTCAGGTTATGAAAAGAAGGGTTTTGGAAAACATGGTGATCGGAAAGATCACTGGTGAGAAATCTAGAGACAGAACACAGGAAATGATGCTTAAAGGTCTAAGACAAGAGTAAGGAATGTCCGACCAAGACAGTAGCAGGAATAGGTTAAATTAAACATTAATTAAAGATATCACAGGCTAATTTGTAAGTTGATAATGTTGTGTGGTCCACAAATAATGTTACAAACTGTCCTTGGCAGAAACACAAAAGGTTTCCTACCCCTTGTCTAAGATGGTGGTATGGAGGTTTATAACCAATAGAGACTCCCTGTCGATATGTGGATAGGCTGGTTTATCATTTTTAGTTTTGGCAAGTTTTTTCTTCTGACAATAGTTAGCTGCATTTTTCTTGATATGTAGACTGAAAGGACATAGTTCTGTCGCCCAGTTGAGTGCATGGGGTGACACTGATATCCGGTTTTCATTTGGAATGCTTTTCAGCTGTGCCGAAAGTGGTTTGTGTTGTGAACTGCGGATTCAGAAAATGGCGAGTGGCCTGTTGGCAGAGAACTTGTGGGGCCAACTTCTGGAGCCTTATGGAGTTAATTTCCTGTGCAACTACTTATCTGTTGTAACTGCTGCTTTCGTCAACATTGGACTTAATTTCTCATTTCAGACTTTTGTGTTGGCACCTCTAACAACTGCCTTATGCATTAAATGTGTGTGTGTGGTTTTGGTTTTGGATTTGCTAAGACTACAGCCTGTGTCAATTCTGTTCGCAAGGGACAGTGATTGAAATTCTGTGTGGTTTTCGTCTGCACAGGAATGGGGCAACTATGGGTTGACCAGTTTGCCATGAAGTTAGAACCACGATTCCCTGATTTCCTGATCTTCTGTAGAATTGTGATTGTTCTAATTTTAAATGCTTTGTTTTATTTATCTCTCTAGCTGTCAGTAATTTTTGCATCAGATATTTTTAGATGTCTACATAGGCTAGTATTGTACTGTGCGTCTGCAGTAGCTGAGTAAATCAATTATGTAGTCACTGTCTCCATTTGTTACTTAAATATTGTTTGGTGGTAAGCTCATTATTACTGTTTGTCAACCAGGAGGACTATGCAAAAGATATTGGGACCAAAGAAACTGCTCAAGGACAACAAGGCTGAAGTTTTAATGGCACGATGGAGGCACCCATCCTTGTCAATTCATGGTAATTAAGCCATCATCATTATCTGCTTCTCAGAAGACAAGATTTTTTTGCTTTTTTCTGCAGAATGTTTTCTGGTTTGAGTTTTCATTCACTTTAAAAGATTAAAAAGTTTGGTGTCGTCTCCACAATGAAGAATTGCTACAGTGTACCAGTGTTGTCTGTGGGAAATATTGTGTGCTGAGGCCCCAGTCTCTACCACCTGGCCAGCTTAGATGGGATTGATTTTACCTTTGAAGTCAGATTGCCACATAGGCAAGGGATCAACAGTCTGCACACAAATATGCCAGATCTGTAAAATAGATGTGCATACAACACAGTCCCTGAAAAAAAGACCAAAATCTAGAAAACAAGCAGAACTTCCTGCCGGAGTTTACTGCTGGTGAACACTAAAAAGAAGAAGATAACAAGAGAAGCCTAACCTACTCTAAGTCGCCAGTTTGACATCTTTGCTAGGGCACAGTGTTATTATTCGCTGCTTTTATTAATGGCCTTGGTAATGTACAGGCATCATTTGATGTCAGATATTAACTGTTGTATATTTAATTTCTTTGTTGTTTTTTTTTTTTTTTTTGTGTTCTCAGTTATTTACTTCTTACTTTTCTTTCTCTTTTCTTCTTCTATATTAATTATTGTTTCTAGTGGTTCTTTCATTTTCTTTTTTTCTTCCCGCAGGTATTGAAGGCGCTTTCAGTGCTCCTGGTGCCAAAACTGTGATCCCACGCAAAGTTATTGGTAAATTTTCCATCCGTCTTGTGCCGCACCAGACACCAGCAGAAATTGAGCGATTGGTCAAACAACACATTGAGAATGTCTATAAACAGACAGGAAGTCCAAACCGTGTCAAGTAAGTTAGCCACACACGGTGCCTTTTGTTTCTTTCCCTTAAACGCAGGGAAAAATATGCAGTCATTTTCAGCCTGGCGAGTGCAGCCTTGGTTATAATGACGCTATCAGAGAGTTGAAACCTATGAATACTAAGCAGATTGGCCAGCATGATGGCCACAGCAACATCAGGACCGTCAGATCACTGCAATAATCCGTGTACATTTTTTAAATTCACTTTTGTGAGGGAAATGCATTTTTTAAAGGAATATATCGTTAATAAAAACAAAGCAAAACATTAACCGCTTCCTTGCCGTTGACCATGTGACAGCATAGTGAGATTATTTTTATGTGAGGATGATGTCATGTTGTTTTAAAAACGTTTTCAGGCATATTGGGTATGGTTTATGATTTAAATTTAAAAAAAAAAAAACATCATTTTTACGAATCGAGAATATGATATATACATGCCTGTCTTTTATCCTGTGGGGGTTGCTACTTGAAAAGTTTGGCCACTTGTTGATCTCAGTCTGGAGGGTAGACCAGCGTGACCTGAAGGTTTGATACCATAAAAACTACAAAATCTGAGTGTTGTTGGCATACCAGTAGGACGAACCCAGATACCCCAGTCAACTTCTAAGGATCTAAGGAAATTGTAATTAGAGCACCTTTAATGGTTACACCAGCCCGGTGTCTCTTTTGTGCCCTATGTGGGTCAGGGTGTGAGCATGTATCTGATGCTAGTTATAAGACAGAGAAGATGTTATGTTCGACACATCCTGAGAAGAAACCAGCAGAGTATCACCAAACATGGACACATCCTGAGAAGAAACCAGCAAAATATCACCAAACATGGACACATCCTGAGAGGAAACCAGCGGAGTATCACCAAACATGGACACACCCTGAGGAAAAAACCAACAGAGTATCACCAAACATAGACACATCCTAAGAAGAAACCAGCAGAGTATCACCAAACATGGACACATCCTGAGAAGAAACCAGCAGAGTATCACCAAACATGGACACATCCTGAGAGGAAACCAGCGGAGTATCACCAAACATGGACACACCCTGAGAAAAAACCAACAGAGTATCACCAAACATAGACACATCCTAAGAAGAAACCAGCAGAGTATCACCAAACATAGACACATCCTGAGAGGAAACCAGCAGAGTATCACCAAACATGGACACATCCTGAGAGGAAACCAGCAGAGTATCACCAAACATGGACACATCCTTAGAGGAAACCAGTGGAGTATCACCAAACATGGACACATCCTGAGAAAAAACCAGCAGAGTATCACCAGACATGGACACATCCTGAGAGGAAACCAGCAGAGTATCACCAAACATGGACACATCCTGAGAAGAAACCAGCAGAGTATCACCAAACATGGACACATCCTGAGAAAAACCAGCAGATTATCACCAAACAGACATTACGATTGGAAATAAAGAGATTTAGGAGGCAAGGAAGCCTAAAAGAAACCCTAAAACAGACGTTGATGAGAGAGGCCAAAGCTGCTGGACTGGATTCCATCCATTATATTGAACTGATTGCACAGGATGCAATGATATGAAGAAATAGACTGGGAGCCCTGTGGGACATATAATGGCACAGCAGGATAATGAATGAATGAAGACAATGGGTGATGAGGTCAGCGTCATGTTGGCCACCTGGCAACAGTGCAGTGACGATGATCTGTCAGCTGAATGTGGTCTGTGATATTTGAAATAATTAAACATATACACACTTAAAAAAAGTTCATTGAAAAACCAATCTGAGTGATAAAAGATGGAGAGTGTATAATTAAAATACATCATGTTTGATTCTTGCATTGACCAGGGTAGACATGGGACATGGAGGCAAACCCTGGGTCAGTGACATCAATGATCCTAATTATGTGGCTGCACGGAAGGCTACCAAAATTGGTGAGTGATTGGGTAAATGAGAGACTGATTAGGTCAAAAATTGGTGAGTGATTGGGTAAATGAGGGACTGATTGGGTCAAAAATTGGTGAGTGATTGGGTAAATGAGGGACTGATTGGGTCAAAAATTGTTGAGTGATTGGGTAAATGAGGGACTGATTGGGTAAAAAATTGGTGAGTGATTGGGTAAATGTGGGACTGATTGGGTCAATAATTGGTGAGTGATTGGGTAAATGAGGGACTGATTGGGTCAATAATTGGTGAGTGACTGGGTAAATGAGAGACTGATTAGCTATGTGAGTGATTTGATGCATAAGTTAATGAGTGCTAAATGAAAAAAAGAGGTTCGCCTACTTCCCGTCTTAATTGTTTATTTTCAGTTCATTTTTTTTTTTACACAATCCTTTGTTTACACCAGTGTTGTATTAGTGAAGTCCCACAAAGCAGAGGGAAGTATAAAGAAAAATGAAAAGCACAGTTGAGAAGAGGAAGAAAACATTGAACAAGATAAAGAAGATGATAGAAAATGACAAATTTCATTTTTTATTTTCTTTGTTGGCTTCAGGCCTCTATTGTGTGTGTGGGGGGGGGGGGGGGGGGGGGGGGGGGGGGGGGGGGTGAACAAGAAGTGGTTTTTAGATGTCAAAGGATAAGTTGGTTTATTGTGAGACTGCTTCAGCTGGTGATAAAGGGGAGTGTGATTACCTTTTAGAATGTGCCCGGCTCGCTAGCGTAGTTGGCTAAACCTGACTTCGCGCTGACCGGGTGACGAACTCCTTGTGGTCTGGGTTCACGCCTGGGAGTAGGCAGAAAAGCCACATTTCTCCCAGATTTACGGTATTTATCATGAAATAAAGACCAAAGAGTTACTATATCCATAGACCAAGCCAAAGGGTTAAAAACTCATGGTTTCTAGATATTTAAAAAAAATAAAAAAAACTATCGGAATGTAGCCTATGATTACTGCCTAAAATTTTGACCCCAGATAAAGTCCTGGAAACTAAAGATGGCCAGCATTGCCTGTTGACTGTCAATTCGTCTACAGAAATTAAGTCTAGTATCATATTTGTGATGCACTACCGGAGGGAAAAGGAATCCTTTACCTTTTTGTTTGTTAACATAAAACCTTTAACCTAAATAACTCTTTCTTTTTAACAGTCCATGGAGTTGAACCTGATCTGACCAGAGAAGGTGGAAGTATTCCTGTGACCTTGACCTTCCAGGAGGCCACCGGCAAGAATGTCATTCTGCTGCCGATGGGAGCCAGCGATGATGGAGCTCACTCGCAGAATGAGAAGATTAACAGATCTAACTACATACAAGGGGTGAGTTTTTATTGCAGTGCCGTCTCTTGAAATTGTCGGCTTATACAGAAAAAGAGAAATAGATGAAAGGTAAAAGCAGAAATATGAGTTGTAGTAGCACAGCAGTTAGATGGCTCGAAGGTATAGGATTCAAATCCACATCGATTGTTGCTGCAGTTTCAGCAAAGCTAATAGCATACACACTTTATTTTTCATTAGATATACCAACACAAACAGTCCAACACTAGAAATAGAGTTTATAATCAGTGGAAGCTGTTAAACCTTTGGAGACGGAGGCTTTTTTGGGGGATTCAGTGCCAGAAAGAGAGAGCCTGCAGGAGGAGATTCTCTTAGTTTACACACACACAAAATTGTAAAAAATAAAGCATTTTATTAAAACTGTATAATGTTTGTCGGCTTTGTGGCTAAGTTGATGCGAACGCTTCGCTTCGTAATGCCGGGATGCCAGGCTCGATTCCAGCTGCGGGCAATGTGCCTTGCGTTGGTTTTGACAGTGGTATCAAGAAAGCCAACCGTCCAGCAAGCAATGGCAAACTACTGGATGTAAATTGCCTAGAGAAACCACACAACAGCCAGGGGCTGTTAGGGTTGGTTCTGCAATGTCCTGTAAAGGATACGCAACTAACTTGTATAATGTTTATGAATCAGACTGAAATCTCAACATTTATCCAAATTAACTATTCTGATTTGCATAATTTATGCAAGATTTGTTTTTTAAAACTTGGGAACAAACATGGCTAACCTGAAAATGTGGGCACATTTTTTTAATGGATGAAGCATGAATAAGTCCTAACACTTGTGTTTTGAGAAGTGAGGCCCATGGAGGCCCTTCAGGCACCTCTTGCACATGGTTCGTCACCTTTTTCTGCCTCCTGCTATGTTCCGATTGCTATGATGCAGCAGTCCTTTTCACCTTTGGCATGAGGGCAACCCCCCCCCCCCTTTTCCCATAAAAATCAGTGTAAAACTACAGAATGCATCAAACTTTCTTGACAGCTCACATGTGCAAGAAATGCAAGAAGCAATCTGATTGGCTAGTACAAAAACCTGCCAGCCAATCTCAAGGCTTGTATTATACAAGGCTGACTAATCAGCTGTCCCCTCCTTTTGGCTATTTTGTGTTGGACCAATAGATCGGCCGCATCATCTTCAAAGGGTTAAACAGACCAGTAGTTGCACATGCAATTAATTGCATAAGATACCACAAATTTTCTCCAGCAGCAGGCCACTCGCTGTTTTTTTAAAAATCTGCAGTTTATAACTCAAGCACAGTTGAAAAAAATTCCAAATGAAATAATATTGGAAAGACACAATACTATTTTAATAATATAATTCTGGAAAGACGCGCCACTGAATTAATAATATAAAACTATTTCCTGTTGGGACTTGAGGCGATTTGTGGAACAAATGTACGGTGTCAGTAATATTATTTACAGAAAAACCCTCCACTTTAGATTGCTGTCTTTTTGTGATTCTGATGTTTAAAAATTATAATAATATCTTCATTACGACTGTTAAAAAATATGTCGTTCATGAAAATTATAAGGGTCAAGACGTCTTCACTAATTGGGAACCACTGATATAAAATGTAAAGACAATATCCGCATGCCAAATATTCACATTTCCTGATATCAATAAATTTGTTTTGTAAAGTTTCAGTACTTTTTATAATTGTTGTCAGTTCTGTTTCTCTTAATTAAAAATGCTCAATTTCATAACTACAACTCAAGGATGATGGGTTTATCATCATTATCCTGTGCCTTGCCGACTGGCATGGGTGATCATGCCTCTCCACAATCTGCAATCTTCAGCAGACAGCGTGTATCAGTTCGTGCATTTACACCCCTGTTTTAAAGAATTTTCTTGCGTTGTCCTTCTCTGTCCACAGATCTTTCCAGTTTTCCTTCTTCTCATAACACGAGCAAAAAAAAGATGACTGTCTCTGTCTGATTTTTCTGGGAAGCTATCTTACGGCCCTCGCCCTCCACAGAACATCTGGTTTTTCTTTTTTTTTTTCTGTAAAAACACATCTCTGAAGGTGCAAGAAATTGTTTGGTTTGTTTATTAATTGTCTAGGATTCATAGCCGTTTGTTAAAACTGGTTATATATAACATCCAGTTTTAACATATGGCTGTGAATCCTTGACAATAGGTAGGCAGGCCAAACGATTCCTGGAGGCCTCGGAGATGTGGTTTTACAGAAGAATGCTTAGAATACCTTTGACAGCCAAAAAGAGCAACCAAGAGGTTTTGAAAGAGGCGGGAGCCCAAAGACAACTTATCACAGACATCAGAAGGAGACAGTCATCTTTCTTCGGCCATGTTATGAGAAGAGGGAAAATAGAACATGTTGTGACCACTGGAAAGATATGTGGAAGGAGAGATAGAGGTAGACAAAGAGAGAAGATGCTTGACAGTCTTGTTGCATGGCATGGAGGTGTGTCGGCACACGAAGTGATACATGCTGCAGGAGATCGCAGATTATGGAGAGGCATGATCGCCCACACCAGTCGGCAAGGCACCTGATGATGATGATATATAACATGTGAGAATTCTTTTCCTTACCTCCGGTGGCATGGATTTATTACCTAACGTTTTCTTCATTTTATAAAATGCAGTTTTAGCCTGTCACATTCTGTGGTTTATACACAACTAAAAGAAACTGTGACTATAAACCGTCCTTTTTTTTTTAACAACAATGAAAAGCAATGAATGGTATGGTCATGTATCACGATATACGTCCCTCTCCACACAAAAAAAAACAACTGATAGCTCAGCAGAAGAGAAGAGGAAAAGAATTGGGAGAAAAATGACAATACAGAATTTGGCTGCATTGGACAGGTCTCAAATCTGCAAATATCAAGTTCATTGTAGCTGTCAAGCAAAGTTGGAGGGTATCGGGTAATCCATACATACTGGTAACCTGTCATTAAACTATGATGTTAAAAATAAACCAGTATTCTAATAACGTGCAAAATTTTTGTTCATTATGCAGGTTTAAGGACATCTGTGTATAATTTGGTTTAGAAAATTGTGTTTTCATTTTACTATCTTTTTCTATTTCCAGATCAAAATTTTTGCTGCCTACATAGATGAGCTTGCAAAATTGTCTGTATAAAATCCAGAACTTGTAACACAGAGATCACTGACTTACATACATATGATTGTGTTAGTAAAATACTGCTTAACAGTTACCTTCCAAACCATATTTGTCACACTGAAAACAATAACTATGTAAATAATTGAATAGCCTAGAAAACAGTGGGTTAATGTAACAATTGGGGTACAGTGAATGTAAAATAGCAAAAGTCTCATATATACATATTCAAAAATCTGGCACCAGAAGTTGTCCGATTTTTGCATATATATATATATATATATATATAAAATAACTGCAGTGCATTAGGTTGTAATAACTAGAAAATATTTGTTAATGCTGGGCTGGAATGGATACAAGAGAAAGGAAGCTGTTCAGATGACTGTCTAAACATTACATACACAATAAATCTGTAGTCAGAGTGGTTTTGTTTCTTTATTTTTGAAACTTTTGTTAGAGTGTGTGTGCTTCTTTTATTGTAACACGCTTACAGTTTTTAAGTTTTAAATATAATACCACTGTTAGTTGTGAAATATTTTTTGTTGGGGAAGCTACACTGCTTTCACTGTAGCTAATGATCATTTAACGAGGACAGGTCATTACATGACTTGTTGAGCTTTGATAACAGTATTTTTCAGTGCAGTAAGGTTTTGCAATAGATCTCTTAATAAGGAGAAAATCGGTTTGACAGATCACATGTTTACATGTTGACATAAAAAAATCGGGCAACTTCTGGTGCCAGATTTTTGAATGTGCTTGATTTGTAGGGTTATAAAAGCTGTATATTTCAACAGAAAAGACAGTTAAACACTAAATGCAAATGCAGTTTTAATGTTCACTAACTAAATAAAACAGTTCTACAGAATTTTAGTTCTACTAAATAAAATAGGTCCTAAAAATTTTAATTAAAAAATAAAATCGTCAAATTTTTTTTCAGTTAAGTAAATTAGTATCTCATGCTTGAAATCTGAAGGAACCAGATTATCTATGGCAGGATTTTTCAATGTTGACTTATTTTACATTCAGTGTTGTAACTGAATATTGAAATTCGCCTCAGGGGAAGCCATATTTCTTTAGTATGTATTAGTCAAATTAAAAAAAAAAAAAAACAATAGTTAAACAATACATTACACAATGACTGTGATTCTTGGGAAAGAGCATAGCATACATCATATTTTGACTGAAAGAGGTTAGGAAATCACTGAAAACCCTTTCAGCAAAACATGGAAGAACGTCAGCTATCTGCATACTTCAGCTATCTGCATGCTGCTTTACATTCAGTTGTGTCTGTTGTCAAAGCCATATATTATTTTTATGGCTGATTACTTATTTTCCAAGGACTAAAGACATTTTTTGTTTCCCATATGCCTGTGTAGACGTGAAGGGAAGCCATTATTTAATGCTAGATCCTTTTTTTTTCAATTACATTTTTCTGTTGCACACATGTATATAAATATACGCAGAGAGCGAAAGGTAATCAACAAATTATAATGAGAATTGTTAAATGTTATATTTATTCAGCATTACTATATGGAGCAGAAACCAGGACAACGAACGTCAGGAAGTAATATTCTGGCTATATGTGGACATGGAAAAATAGGTCATATCTCGTGAAAATGGATTTTATCAAATATACAGATTCATAGGGACTTGGAAATAAAGGATAGTTAATGATAGAAAAGAAGAGAGATAAATGAAAATATTATGACAAGATATCACACCAGAAGCAGAACTGATCAGTTTCACATGATCGCAGTCATGCATGACAAATGAATGTTGCTGCTACAAAGTGTTCATCAGCCGATGACTTGAGTAGACGAGAAAAATCCACACGTCAGTCTGGCCAGCTGAAGCTCTGAGATGTGGGCAACTTTAAAACATGCCACTCTTTATTTTTTTTTTAAAAACACAAGAGAGGAAAAAGTTAAAGGCCTTTTTTATACCTACTCTGTCCAGAACCTCATATCTGTGATCTTGACTTGCTCCTTGTGCCAGGTATTCTCCGTGTGCATCACACGTGAAAGCTATTTTTAGCTGTTTCTCCTGGTACAAATCAGTTGACCAAGTTTCAGTTCTCTCAAGATGAAGGATGAGGACACACACTTGATAAAGAGATTTTACATTATACATGGCTGCTGGTCAATATGGCAGATAGGTAGGTTTACTGGTTTTATTTGTGGCTAGTTGTTTGCTTCTGACAACAGGTAGCTGTTGCATTTTCTTCTATATGTATACTGAAGGGATTTAGTTCCTTAGACCAGCTACTGAGTTGAGAACATGGTACGACACCGTGAGCTGCAGATTTAATTTAGAATGCTTTGTTACTGTGCCCAATATGGTTTATATTGAGAATTGCAGATTCAGAAAAAAGATAGTGGCCTGTTGCCAGAGAACTGGTGGTGCCTTGTGGAATTAATTGCGAATGCAACTACTGATCTGTTGTAATTGTTGCTTCTGTTGATAATGAACTGCATTTCTAGTGTCGGACTGTTTGTATGGCACTTCTGACAGCTGCCTAATGCATGTTTATGCAGTTGACTTTGCTGAAACTTTAAAATATCTGTCCTTTATACTTTGGACACCCGGAGGTCCACAGAACAAACTTATGGGGTCAGTGGTCTTATCTAGACAGCAGGTAAATAGTCACGACCAAAATGAAATGTTTACGTACTACACTAGATGTAACAAGGAAAGATTGACTTAGTGACAATGATATCAGAAGGAGAGTTGGCACAGAACCGCAATACTGAATTTTATCGGTAGACAACAGATCAAATGGTTTGGCCGTGTAACGAGATTAGCATCAGACAGGGCGCCACGGAGAACAATGTTATACAGATACAATGGTAAGAGAGTTAGAGGTCAACCACACTGAACATGGATTGCAGAAATAGCTGAGACACTGAAAAGTACTTTTTACGAAGCAAAGAGAAGAGCCGTCCAGAGATCTCTACATTCCCTGATGCTGCGAGGCTTTCCAGGAGAAAAGAATAAGAATGCAACTCCTCTTTCTTTTCAATTTCTTTTTTTTTTTTTTTAGATTGTAATTTTAATGTTTTATTTTAATAGTTATTTTTATTTTTAATTATTTTATATAAATGTGACTATTAAAAAATAAAGGGCCTGTGGCAGAACTTAAAAATTAAGACAGGTCCAGGGGTCACATATAGCTGAGTACCACCACTATAGAGTATAGGGAGGACTCACAGATTTATATTTTGCACCAAATATTAAGGTTGAGGTTTAAAAAAAAATCTTTTTATGTATTATTATATTTTTTTGACACAGGGTGAAAAACTTCATTCCAAATAAATATAAGAAGATAAAATTTAAAAAATTTATGGGATTTTGTTTTGTTCAGAATGATTGTTTTATTGCACTTTACATTCATAATTGCCTTCTTGCAAATTGATGCATCATTGACAAAAGCAACTCCCATCATTATCTATGATAAGATTACACCACGAGTTGTACTTGCATTACACTTGACCTAGAGAAGCCAAGCCTCAGTCTGCTCACTTCCGGTTGTGCCAAGTCCCTGTACATGCAGAAATAGGGCCATGTCCACACTGACTCATTCTTGGACAGCACAGTTAAAGTGTACTCATCCATTGTGTTGTCTACACCGCGTTTAATCATCAAGAATTTGAATATAGTAACTAAAAATATCATTTAGTGGTATTTCCTTATGACTTTCTTAAAACAAAGTTGATAAGAAATTCCCCCCTTAAATCTCTTTTGTAGAGGTTATGGCATGGGTCACCTAGTACATTTCACTCATCAAGATATAGATTTCATCCAAAGTCGAAGTGCATCTGCTTAACAGGAACCAACAGTCTGCCTGCAAATGGGCAGATTTGAAAAATGTATATGCATGCACAGTTCAGTTTCTGGAATTACACTGAAGTCCAGAAGTGGATAAACAACTAGAACTTTCTACCCGAGTTATCAGCTGGTGAATGCTAGGAAGAAGAAGAAATCACACATATCTTTTATTTGTTCTGTCACCTGCTTGCCGCCTTTCCAGGGTCTACATCACATAACATAGCCCTTGACCCGTTAGAGTCGTAGAGGTGTATCGATTGAAGCAGAAGTACACAAAACTCAGCATCTTTCTCTGTCCTCTGCTTGATGAATAAGTGTAGAATAACTTAGTCCTGTCCATTTCTTGATGTTGTGATTCCTAATTCGTCTTTGCCCTCCTCTTCTTCAACTACCCCCCCCACCCCCCAGCTTGGTTATGAGGTCATAAGTGTGGTTGTGATACAATATGTGTGGCTATGATGTAATATGTATGGTTGTGATGTAATATGTGTGGTTGTTGTGCAATATGAACTCCGCTAAGACCGGTCCCAATCCCGGCTGTAAAAGGAGGAGGGTCTGGCTGAATCTGAGTGCTTCATGCGTCTCCGGAAGTAGTGGGTAACCGTGTATCAGCCAGACGGCCTGCAAGGAGGCAGCCCCTCCACCATGCAAAGGCACAACAGGCCAATCATCTGTTTGCCTTAAACCACGATTACAAGTAACTACAGAGAGAAAACCGGACGGATCTTAACGGCGACGAACTGGCATGTCTAACAGACTACGATTTATGGAACATGGAACATAAGAGGCATTAACGGGAAGGAAAAGGAGTTAGTAGGGGAGATGAGGAAATACGAAATTAGGAGTCTTGGCTATGACTGAAACCAAGAAAAAGGGGCAAGGAATCACAGATCATGATGGAAGTATGCTGCTCTACAGTGGTGTCCCTATAACGGAGAGAGCCAAGGGAGGCGTTGGCTGTATTGTGGCCAGGAACCAAGTTAGTAACATCAAGAGATGGAAATTCATCTTGGAGCGAATTATGATGTTAGATCTGAAAGAAGAAGATAAAATTATCAATATTGTTATTGTGTACGGGCCAAATGAAGATGAGCGAGTTGATGTTAAAGAAGAATTCTTTGAACTGCTCCAAAGGACCATAGATGACTGTCACGATGAAATTATCCTCCTAGGAGATCTAAATGCCAGAGAAGGAA